TAGCCCATAATTTCCTCGGTAAAAATTCATTTGAGGCCAAATGCATATGTCCTAATAGAGTATTTCAAAAGAAATATAGAATGATGAATTAAACGCCAAGAAATTCTGTTTAATAAGGTAGTTATGGAGAAAAAAACGAAAAAAAACGCGGATCCCTGTTTTTTTCGTTTTTTTTTGCGAACAATTACCGTGGTTACTGTAGTTCAAAAGGATATCATTAAACTACAACTTGCATTAAGCTCAAATTACAACCATTAACGCAAGTTTGTACTGCGGTAGGGTAAGCGTTGTATGGAGCGGTTACTTAGGAAACGTAGAAAGGGTGCGAGTCACTTGCAAACTCTGTGCTTCGACTGCACTTAAAAATAATGTATAAGCCCAGATGATCAAAAATCTAGAGTGCTAAGAGACAACTATACGGACGTCTATGACATTACTTAATAAATCAAGGTTTCTAAGAAAATTAGTAAAATAGTGCTTCTTTGAACTCGTACAAATCAAAAGGCTTCTCTAATAATAGGTGAAAGAAAGCCTGTGTAGTGTACATACTTTTAAAATGGCACGAACAAAAGATTAGGAAGAGAACAGTTTTAGATTCTATGAAAATCTTGTACATGTGAAATTTGGTGCATGTGAAACCTCAGAAAGGGTTCAAATGGGAAGAAAATCCAGATACTAGCATCGACTTTCTATCTCTATGAGAATGCACTTAAATGTCGATTTAAATTTTACGTCTTAGAAAAACTTGTTTTAAGAGTTTAAATGACAGATCCTTACCTAGAAATAACCTGTCCTTTAGAAGCTCCTTTTCTTTAAAAAAAACATAAAAAATGCAAGGAGGAAAATGGAGTGATAGCTGTAATAAGTGATCACAACTTAGGTGAGCGTTTGACAATCGAGGAACAGAACCCATATCGAATGTTCATCTTTTGGCAGCAGAAGTAGGTTTCACTACGGTCGCACAATGACTCTTCATCAAGAAAGTTGGAATGGGCTCACCCCTTACACATTGAGTTGTAACACACATATCTCTGCCTGTTATAATCAGCCCTTAACCTAGTGCATGGCACCCTCACCCCCTCCCCTTTCCCACCCGCACCTCTCTCTCGCTTGGCATTGGACACACAATAAATAAAGCACCTAA